GGTCTTCAGTTTCTGCATGGCCATTGACAAAACGTGTCGGTTGACACCTTGGCCGACTGCTGCATCCCCTTGAAAAGACGACCTCATTTAGAAAAGTACAACCAACAAGATGATATTCAACATACACTTACCAAGAGACAACATGAATCATCCTTCAAGCTTTCAATACAATAAATGTAACTAGTTCTTTCTTCCCTGGTCTAAGGGACATGAACTTAATCCTCAACATGCAAGTAAAAACAAACAAAAAGGCAAAATTCGACCCAGATGACAACCTATAATGAAACATGAGAAGTTACACTATTTATTAATACCTCTCAGCCTGCACTTCAATGGAGCTGCCCAGTTAACATTGTTCATTTTAAAGAATGAAATCAATGAACTGTCTGTTTCTTCTTCTGCGTCAAACAAGTCGATTGACAGAAAGAGGCGTGGACATTCATAGTTACGTTCCAGCCGTTCCTCTCTGAACAACTGACATGCCTTCCGGGGGTCCACTTCATTGGCCCATGCTGAAATGTAATTTGAAGGGAAAAAAAGTGGTTGGTACAATAAACTTCATAATATGTCAGCTTCAATTGTAAAATAGTACTTCATTTATTGTCTCATTTAGTAAGCCCTGTATTTTAAAGCAATATATTAAAAGGTAGTAACTTGAAATCAATTATCCTTTCCATATTACTGGATCAAACATGTAACAACATTCATTTTGGTGATCATTGCTATTTAAGTGTTTGTGAGTAGTCACTGTTTCAAACTACACCACAGCAGTAATTGTTCTGAATAAATAACCTGCTGAAACTGTTGCTGGCAATCGTTGAACTGAAGGTCCTGGCATTTCCTCTGTCCTTGTCATACTGGCTGCATCGCTATGATGAGCAGGGTCCATTCTTGGAAAAGACAAAACAAAAAACATACTCACAGGAATGGAAAATAGAGACTAGTGAGCGCCCTTCTTTTTTTACATATTTCTTCTTGCATATCAAACAAAGTAATTTAAATCAGATCCCTAATAAGTATTTCGGCTCTGTTAAGATTTCTACATTTCCTAAAAATGCATCACATGCTCTGATGCAGCTGCTATAGCTGTAACATTACAGCATTTTAAAACACAAAAAAGGAACAAGCACATTCACCAAACGATATCGTTATTAGGTTTGACACTTTGCATATGTTGTTCACCTCTCTCAAAACATGTCTATCTTCCATCTTTTGCTTGAACAAGTCAAAACGTCTTACCCTTCACCACATGTGCTTGCATGAAATGAGAGGACATCAATTGGGTAAGATTCAAGACATATAGGGCAAACCTGTAAAAAACATAAACAAATGTCAATACCTTTAAAACATATCACATTATTATAAGAGGTTTTATGTTTAATAATTCTCTCTCAGATAAGTGATACAGGAAACATAATTCTATGATAAAAAAATGAGTACATAGACAGTGTGCAAAAAGTCTGTTTGGTGAAATGTGTTATACCCTACCTATATACACACCTGCAATCATGCTGTCATTATTTACTGAAAACAATAAGGCTTTTATACTAAATTGCAAAGTAACTTTAACAGGATCAGCATCAACTACCTCTGACAATTCTCCCATCCCTGTGTTAGGTGGATTTGGCTGCTCAATCACTTCATCAAGAGAAGTCCCAGATTCACTCTCCTAAAAAACAAAAAAGGTACAGAGAATTGGTTCTATAGACTTTGAAACAGTCATTTGAGCAAACTAAAACATTACATATTTATTTGAGAAATGAGAGAAACGTTTTAATAACAGCTTACAGTCAATATGTCATTACATTCCTCCACATGTAAAGGCAACAGCTGCAAAGGCATTTGACTGCCACATGTTATGCAGGTTGACTGTGGCATCTTTGCAAACTCTGCCGAGTCATAGGGTAGTGGTTCGGTAGAAAGTTGCTCCTGTAGTGGAATTACAAACACAATGTTTTTTCCGTTGTTGGACGCTGTTTTGAGGAGCCTTGTGGAGTACCCCTCGGAGTCAGTAGGAATTATGGACAGCTTTCGACGTCCACTACCACCTATTTTAAAATCAAAATAGGAACAACACAAGTGTGCTTTAAAACCACCTGACAGTACATACATTAATATTAGGGATATATACGTTACACTTTGTCAGGCAAACTTTAGTACTGTTTTATACAACTTGAAGAAGTGATATGAATGGTAATTCAAAGTAGGGCAACAGAAAACACATATGTGGGGCTTCTGAGTGTGAAAAACACAACACAGCATTTTCACCAATGGAGATGAGAACAATATTACCTGCTGACTTGAAAAACATCCAGCCTCCTTTTAATGTTTTCAGTTTTGGAAATTCTTCCTCAACCGAAGCCATAGTCTTTAAAACAAAGTGAAATAACATACAATATTCAGCAAGTGATTCACATTTTAAATCATTGAGAAATCTTTAATACTGTCTGTTTATATGATTACCTCACTGTGCAATAAGTTGTCCGGTAGATTTAGCATCCTCTTTCCAAGGCCAGCATAGGCAAGTGGTAGCTCTTCCGAGCCCTTAGGTGTAAACTGACTGGGTCCCGAAAGGACATATATGTGAAAGTCCGTCCGTTTGACGATGCAAGGAGCCGGGGTGGGAAATCGTCTTTTGCCTCTTGGCTGATCAGTACTGAACATACTTGGGAATTGCCTGATGTGGGAATGACAAAAGGATCTGTGAGACTAGACATTGTTATATCATTTGCAAATCATTGGCTTGCGTTGATGGTTTTGTTAACATAGGTTGAACAAATTGTATGAATAAAAAGCGAAATCATAGTTAATATTCTGTCGATACAAAAACAATCTTGACACTTAGCTTTATCTTACCAAAATATTTGTTTTGAAAACATTAATATATTGTGTTTGGGACGTTTCAAGGCAAGGGGTTGTTAAAGGTTTTAAAAGCAGTAATGGAGGATACATACTATGGACAAATGTTTTAAAACATTAACTCAACATTACATTAGAGTAATGCGAGGGGTGAGATCAAATATCAGATGTTTACACATCTACGGGATTAAGCCACAGTTTGATCTTGAACTGTCAAATGTAAAAAAAAGTCTATTAAATCACCTTCTCATCGCCTGCCTCACCCTGACATCATTGTGGGATTGGACGCTGTCTACCGCCCTGACTGCTACGCTGACCGGTGCACTCTCTGCTATGCTCACTTCTGGTGGAGTTGGAGTCGCAGACAACTCCCTGGCTATTAATTGAACTAAAGCCCGTGCTGCTACCTCGACCCGAGGCGTTACACCCTGTCGAACAGTCAATTAATCTTCTCTCACATTCACTTCACTGCAACATTTTACTTGGTAGCAGAAGCACATAATAAGAATGGGGGATCGTTAGACCGTTAACGCTAGTTAATGTTAGCTTATGGAGCTCAGCTACTACAACACAGCTAACCAAAACAGTTCTATATAATTCTCGAATTAAACAACTAACAACTAAGCAAAACCAATCCTTCATAATTTAGGAGTATTTCATAATTTAAACATAATTTACACTTGGAGCGGGAGGCGCGCGACCACCAGACGCCATTTTAAAGATGACCTCTGACCTGTCAGCTCCGGAGTCCGGACTGCGCAAAATGCGTAAATGAAGTGCTACGTCACGAACGCAAGAAATCCTACCCACGTGGGGGCGCGCTCATGTGATTGGCTTAGACTGGAGGAGACATCTGATTGGCTATAGATGAGAGAAATTACAAGTACGAATCGGGTGAGCGTCAGGGGAGTCTCAAAAAACCCACACACGAATGCAAAGCGATCCGTGCACAGAAAGCTGTTTGTGTTTGAAGGTGCAGCGGTTTTAAACGGAAAACTAATATGTGTGGATCAAAAATACACATGTAAAACTTTTTTCTGTGTTTGGATTTTATTTACATGTATATGAAACGGAACACATTTGTGTATGCATTGAAAAACACAAGTGTGGATCCGGAAATACAAGTGTGAATCCTTTTGCGGATCATGAAATACAAGTGTGAATCCTTCTGTGTGCATGTGTGTATTATGAGACTGTTCTGAGCCCATAGGCAGCTGGGGTGGCAAGGCTATTGTTTAGGGTGGCAGTTGCCACCCCATGCCACCCCGGTAGATCCGCCCCTGCTTATATCCATGTCGGAAAGGGGAATAAACATGGTCCAGTGTATTTCCGCCGCGCGTCGGGCAGCTGATGTGTTGAAAGTATCTCGGCAGGACTTTCTTCATATTTGCGTTGTTAAAATCCACAACGAATGCCGCCTCTGGCCGTGAAGTCTCCGTCCTGTCAATAATTCAAAACAGCTGGTCGAGTGCTGTGTTGTTGTCAGCGTGAGGCGGAATATACACTGTAATCACCACGCATGTAAACTCTCCCGGCAGATGAAAAGCCCGGCATGTGATCATGAGGTGCTCTAAATGAGGGGAAAATCTGAAGAAATAATCTCCATATCTGTGCACCAGTTATTGTTTGTCATGACGGACACACCACCTCGCTTGCTTCTCTCTGAATTATTCCGATCCTGGTGAAATATAGTGAAGCCTTCTGGAACAATGGCGGAGTCCGGGATAGAGGAGTTGAGCCAAGTCTCAGTGAGAATGAACACGTTACAGTTCTTATTGTCCTGTTGAAGCCGTGACGCGGGCACAGACCTGGTGGCCAGATCGGTTGAGGAGAAGACGACCTGCGTATGCGGTTGTGCACATACACAAAGAACCGCTTGGAGTCATTGTGTATATATGTGTGTATATATATATATATATATATATATATACATATACATATATATATATACATATACATATATATATATATATATATGTATATATATCAGAGAACGACTTTTCTGCCGCGGTAAAACTTCACAAACTTTTGTCGGGCAGAACAGTGCATTTAAGAATCAGCTGTTTTATGTAAATGAAAATATTCTACTTCTACATCTTGTTGCTTCGTCTACTGTCTTATTTCTCAAAGCCAGATGTATTTAACCCTTTGTTGACGAATCCATGTTATTCCTCACCAGCAGCTATGAACGGATCATCCCTGCAGGATTTCTCCTCTGGTGACGTTCACGTTCTGGACGATGGACGGTCCATCAACGACTTCATAGACGATCAAATCAAAACGCTCCAATCAGAGGTGAGTGTCGAGGGGTCGTCAAGGGTCTCAACACTGCTTCATCCATCAGTGGTGGAAACTCAGTACATTTAATTAAGTAAGATAAAATGGAACTTTATTTATCCCCGTGGGGGAATTCAGGCGTTTATAGCGGCAACAGGGTCAGAGTGAAAAACCGGTTTCAGTATTTCAGTGTTTTTCAGTGCAGTATTAGTACTTTTCCTCAGGTAAAGTATTGAATATTCCCTCCAGGACAGCGAGGAGCCGTTCTTGGTGGCGGACCTCCAGTCTGTGATTGATCGTCACCAGCAGTGGCTGACTCTCCTCCCTCGAGTGAAGCCTTTCTATGCCGTGAAGTGCAACAACACCCCCGCCGTGCTGAGGGTCCTGAGAGCGCTGAGCACCGGGTTCGACTGCGCCAGCAAGGTACCACAGACCATCAGTACTTTAGATCAGGGACCAGTTAAACCATTGTAGTGATGTTACGTTCACGAACGATTCGATTCTTTTAAACGGCGCTTTGGTATGAACGAAGGGCACCGAGTCGTACTTGGTCAGAGCCATTCTTTTTATCGTTGGTTCACTGCCTGCCATAAATCCACTCGCCTTTGCGTGATCAATGAAAAAACTTGATTTTGTTGCCCAAGCGCATTCCGTGAAGACTCTGATTGGTTAGGTTCAGGCAGGAGTGCCTCTGATTGGTTAGGTTTGGGCACAAGGAGGGAGATTTTGTGGGTTAGGGTTAGCCAATCAGAGGCAGAGTAGGGGCGGGTCTTAACGGAAGAGAGAGAAGTCATAACAAGTAAGTAGTGGTACAGGAAGACCACGTGATTTTCGGGTGAAAACATTTGCCAAACGAGAAAACGCAGCAGCATTTGGATGCACTTCAACAAAAACATAGGCAACGATAAAGCGGAGTGCAACATTTGTAAAGCCAACAAATAATCTCCACCGCCACTTAAAAGAAAACGTCTCTTTTGAACGGCTCTCGGGAAAGGAACGGAGCCATAAGAACCGGCTCCCTTCAAAGAGCCGTAACTCCCATCACTAAACCATTGCATACAAACTCATTTCACTATTATTGAACTCTCTCTTCACAAAACATTATGATAAACCTGAGCAAGGTACCCCAGACCATCAGCACTTTAGATCAGGGACCTTTGCATAAAAACTCAAGAAGATGGACGAACAACTTGTGAAGATCTAGAACTGACTTTGCATTCATCCTGACTCAGCAGCATACAGACTAGAGAGGGAATGTATAGGGAAGAGGGTTCAGGACCCCCCTCACTGATAAATGATCTAACTAACGTACGGACTATTAGGTCAGTTGCAAGCTAAAGTTCAACCTAATATTTTGTATTTAAACGTAGTATTGCTTTCATCCAACCTAATACAGTGTGAAACCTGTTGACATTATAGTATGAAAGTTTTAAACATATCATGTAAAGCGCTGGTTGAGTGAACATTTGTACTGCGTTGGGATTGTTAAGCATATTTACCTGCGGGTGCAGGTCAGTGTCATCTGTACCAACAGAGCAGATCTTACAGTCAGGTCCTTGCTCTCTAACACCCTGATCCAGTTTGAACTGGTTCCCTCCCCCTGCAGGCTGAGATCCAGATGATGCTGAACCTCGGCGTTTCTCCTGATAACATCATCTTCGCTCACACAACCAAACCCATGTCTCACATCAGATTCGCTGCCGCTCACCGAGTCCAAACGATGACCTTTGACAGCGAGGAAGAGCTCAGAAAGATCTCTCTCTGTCACCCCAAGGCCAGGTGAGCCCACCTGTCTCTGTTAGCACACAGTAACTAAGTACATGTATTCCTTTACTGTACTTCAGTGCAATTTTGAGGTACTTTACTTGAGTGTTTCAATGTAGGGAAAACTAAAATAATCGTCTTTTAACAAACATCATTTAGTGTTCTTGTACTGTATAGATTGGTTGAACAGGGATTGGTTGAACAGTGATTGGTTGGACAGTGATTGGTTGATCCCTGATTGGTCGACCCCCTGCAATAGTAGAGGACCCTGGCTTTTATTGATTGTGATAGAAAGTGATTGAAACACTATCTTATTATTTATTTTGTAATATGTTCAAGACATTCCTGTCTTAGCTACTCTACACTGGCTTCCTGTAACTTCTAGAATTGATTTGAAGTTGCTTCTCCTCACATACAAAGCTCTAAATGGACAAGGACCCAGCTACATTGCTGACTCTCTAATGAACTACACACCCGCCAGATCACTGCGATCATCAGATGCAGGTCTATTAGAGGTCACCAGAAAGAGTCATAAGAAGATCGGTGATGCAGCCTTTGTAAACTACGCCCCCAAACTGTGGAACACGTTACCCAACAATATTAGGGAAGCTACTTTATGCTTTGCTCTAGCTGCTTGTTTTACACTGATTTGATGTCTTATTTCTTACTGATGTAAAGCACTTTGAACTGCAACCCCCTGTATGAAAGGTGCTATACAAATAAAGTTATTATTATTATTATTATTCTTTTTAGTTTTACAGCTTATTGAACCTTTTTGTTTGACATCAGCCATTATAGATAATATGGCCGTCTGAGTGTGTGTGCTACTGTTTGTGGTTTGTTTTCAAAGGTGGGGTAGGTAATGTTGGAGAAAGCAGCTCGAGTGCGCTAGAATTAGAAAAAACACAGCCGGAAGAAATCTGCCACTTCCTCACAGAGCCCCTCCTCCAACACACACGAACGCGCACATGACCAATGAGGGCACGAAATGAGTCTGTGCATAGATGGAAGGCTGACAGGCAGGTAGGCCATCCAGTTACTTTAGCCGGCTCAGATGATTGGTCGTGCCAGCCAAATCTTTCTTCTTGTTTTGTATCTATATCTACGCCGGGATCCGGAGTCGAGGCTGATCCTCTTGCTGTAGTCCTGTGTCTTGGATCCTCTATCCTGAGTTCTGGATTAAGCCATGGACTTCGGGTCGTGGCTGAACCTGTCTCTGGGGTCCTGCCCTGATGGCTTCCACAGGATTGTAGCTGACATCCTCGTGGATTCATCTTCCTATTACAGACACATGCATTTCCAAACATTTGGACTACCTATGTTGCAAATGTATTATCTTTTCAATTTATACACGGCATCTATTGCACGTCTGTCCGTCCTGGGAGAGGGATCCCTCCTCTGTTGCTCTCCCTGAGGTTTCTCCCATGTTCCCTTAAAACTGTGGGTTTTCTCTGGAAGAGGACAGAGGGTCTAAGGACAGAGGGTCTAAGGACAGAGGGTCTGAGGACAGAGGTTCTGAGGACAGAGGGTCTAAGGACAGAGGGTCTAAGGACAGAGGGTCTAAGGACAGAGGGTCTGAGGACAGAGGTTCTGAGGACAGAGGGTCTAAGGACAGAGGGTCTAAGGACAGAGGGTCTAAGGACAGAGGGTCTAAGGATAGAGGGTCTAAGGACAGAGGGTCTAAGGATAGAGGGTCTAAGGAAAGAGGGTCTAAGGATAGAGGGTCTAAGGACAGAGGGTCTAAGGACAGAGGGTCTAAGGACAGAGGGTCTAAGGATAGAGGGTCTAAGGACAGAGGGTCTAAGGATAGAGGGTCTGAGGACAGAGGGTCTAAGGATAGAGGGTCTAAGGACAGAGGGTCTAAGGATAGAGGGTCTAAGGACAGAGGGTCTAAGGATAGAGGGTCTAAGGACAGAGGGTCTAAGGAAAGAGGATCTAAGGACAGGGGTCTAAGGATAGAGGGTCTAAGGACAGAGGGTCTAAGGATAGAGGGTCTAAGGACAGAGGGTCTAAGGATAGAGGGTCTAACGACAGAGGGTCTAAGGAAAGAGGATCTAAGGACAGAGGGTCTAAGGATAGAGGGTCTAAGGAAAGAGGGTCTAAGGACAGAGGGTCTAAGGATAGAGGGTCTAAGGAAAGAGGGTCTAAGGATAGAGGGTCTAAGGACAGAGGGTCTAAGGATAGAGGGTCTAACGACAGAGGGTCTAAGGAAAGAGGATCTAAGGACAGAGGGTCTAAGGATAGAGGGTATAAGGATAGAGGGTCTAAGGATAGAGGGTCTAAGGACAGAGGGTCTAAGGATAGAGGGTCTAAGGAAAGAGGATCTAGTTTTTCTCACACTGATATTCTGAACAATCTGTGTTGTTGTATTTGCTGTAAAGTGTCTCTACTGTAGGCTATTTTTATTATATGTTCAGCACTTTGGCTCCACCAACAACAGTTTATAAATGTGCTATATAAATAAAACTTGATTTGATTGGATTTCTACAGAACCATGGCTTCCACAGATGACATTTTTTATGGATTTTTTGTCAAAGCACTTCAGATATTCATTGCTATCGGGATGTTAAGAGCATTCCATGGAATATAACAACAAGTGTATCTCCAGCCGGTTTCTCAAACTTACCTTTAACTGTGTAATAAAGTTAATTATTCAAAAGGTTCGAGTTCCTTATTTTTAAAACTGAAACTTGCACTACTGTTCAAAATAAATAAAAAACAAACCTGGAATTATGCATTTGGGACTTTTTTTCGCTTTTTCTTGTTGAACCGAACCCGTACCGAACCGTGACCCCCAAACCGAGGTACATACCGAACCGTGAATTCTGTGAACCGTTACACCCCTATTGAACAGTGATTGGTTGAACAGTGATTGGTTGAACAGTGATTGGTTGAACAGTGATTTGGTTGGACAGTGATTGGTTGAACAGTGATTGGTTGAACAGTGATTGGGTTGGACAGTGATTGGTTGAACAGTGATTGGTTGAACAGTGATTGGTTGAACAGTGATTGGTTGAACAGTGATTGGGTTGGACAGTGATTGGTTGAACAGTGATTGGTTGAACAGTGATTGGTTCAACAGTGATTGGTTCAACAGTGATTGGTTGAACAGTGATTGGTTGGACAGTGATTGGTTGATCCCTGATTGGTCGACCCCCTGTAGATTGGTGCTCCGGATCGCAGTGGATGACTCCGATTCGCTGGTGAGACTCAGCTCTAAGTTTGGTGCTGGTCTGGGATTGGTGGAGAAGCTGCTGGGCCTCGCTGTAGATCGGGACCTCACAGTGATTGGCGTCAGCTTCCACGTGGGCAGCGGCTGCACCGGGAGTCAGGCCAGCCAGAGAGCCATCGCCGACGCACGACAAGTGTTTGACATCGCCGTGAGTCTTTTTCAGAGTGTGTTGATGTATTTCAGAGTGTGTTGGTGTGACTGTGTGTGTGTGTGTGTGTGTGTGTGTGTGTGTGTGTGTGTGTGTGTGTGTGTGTGTGTGTGTGTGTGGTGTGTGTGTGTGTGTGTGTGTGTGTGTGTGTGTGTGTGTGTGTGTGTGTGTGTGTGTGTGTGTGTGTGTGTGTGTGTGTGTGTGTGTGTGTGTGTGTGTGTGTGTGTGTGTGTGTGTGTGTGTGTGTGTGTGTGTGTGTGTGTGTGTGTGTGTGTGTGTGTGTGTGTGTGTGTGTGTGTGTGTGTGTGTGTGTGTGTGTGTGTGTGTTTCAGAGTGTGTTGATGTATTTCAGAGTGTGTTGGTGTGACTGTGTGTGTGTGTGTTTCAGAGTGTGTTGGGCGTTCAGATGAGTCTCCTGGATATCGGCGGTGGATTCTCCGGCAGAGACAACATTCAGGTCAAATTTGAAGAGGTAAACTGAGTCAGAAATATTCAGAAGTTCTTCAAGGCAGCGTTCCAGTGACAAAGTAAGGACTTCCCAGTCTGAGGGGGGGGCCATTACAGGTCCTTCAGGAATATATGGGTTGTGTTATCTCTTTAATATCTACACAGTTTCCCAGTTCCCATCAGAGACTGCCCTGACCTCACCACCTTCAAAAAACTCACTTGAACTTGTATTATTTTACTTTAACTATATATATTTATTTGTTCTTTTCTTTTCACTATATCTGTAAAGCGTCTTTGAGCACCTGTAAAAGCGCTAACAAAATAAATCTGTTATTATTATTAGTGTGGTGTGATCCCTCTGAAAATGTGCTTTTCCCCACCAGTTTGCAGACGTTATAAATGCGGCGCTGGATAAATTCTTCCCGCCCGACTGTGGGGTCCAGATCATTGCAGAACCGGGCCGGTTCTACGTGGAGTCGGCCTTCACCCTGGCAGTGAACGTCATCGCCAAAAAGAGTAATCTCACTTTATGAGGAAAAGCAGCGCTAGCTTGTCAGATAAATTGCTAACTAGTATTGAATTCGTCTCCAGGTGAAATGTACACTTCGAGGGGACAGAGGACTAAAGCATCATTTACTTTTCCTGTTATTTAAACATCTGTTTGCATATTGTGAGTCCTCTTTGGATGTGTTCCAGACTGTGAGGAGAGCGGCCCTGGTGGACAGATGATGTATTACATCAACGATGGAGTGCATGGAATCCTGAGCTGCATCGTCAACGACCCGGCTCACCCCCCCATCCAGCTGCTTCCTCACAGGGTGAACACCCTCATATACACGACCATTAGCTCCACTCTCTAAAGATCTCTCTTTTTATAGTATCTGATCATGGTTAATACTCAGCGGTGGATAGACACAAAGTACATTTACAGAAGTACATTACTCAAATACAATGTTGAGGTACTTGTACTCAGGCTTGGAGAGGGAATACACTTAATTAAATACATCTTATTGATATTTATTTTCTCTTGTATTTATTTATATCGCATTTGAAGTACGACGTACTGTAGCGCTGCTCTCCTCTATACTGAATGGTAAAGGTGTAAATTCTGGTCTGTATTTCATATTTAAATCCTTGTCTGTAGGCCGTGGGGGTCGGCGAGGTGAGGTACCGCTCGGTGGTCTGGGGTCCGACCTGCGACAGCTTGGATAAAGTGTCGGACAGCGCCATGATTCCTGAGCTGCAGGTGGGCGACTGGCTGCTCGTCCACCACATGGGGGCGTACACTGTCTCTATGAGCACCGACTTCAACGGCTTTGAAAGAGCCAAGATTTTCCCCGTGGTGACGGAGGAGACGAGGCGCCTCTTAAAGCTCCGTCACACCTCAGCGTGAAGAAATAACCTGGAGAGACTAATGTTGCACAAAATGAATATTGTGATATTTACATTCACTGCATATGCGTCCACTATACTTTCTTCCAACTTAAAATTACATGTATGTTATGTTGAGCATATTTGTATAATAGCAAAGTCGTGTTTCAGTTCATGTGTATGACATCATCAGAATGTGCCTGAAACGTGGTGATGCTAATGAGCATGCAGTTACAATAAACGGCCCGTACTCCAGGCCAAACTCTGAGCGATGTGGTCGTGTGTTTCTTCTGTCCGTTAGCATACTTACAAGCTACTTTGGTTGACTGCAAACGTGGAGACTTCTGCTGAATATAATGTCTCACGCAACCTGTTATCAATCCATTCACCCCGTAACCTGTTCAGCCCTGAGCCTGTGGTTCAGGTCTCAGGCTCCAAAAGGACATTCCCAGAACAAAGGACCATATCTTCTAAAAGGGTTACATGAATAATCTTTGTTCTCAAAGTAACGATAAACCTGTGAGTTGGATGTAGAACAGTCAGAATCAATATAGATGTTTTTATATTAAAGACAATTCAGATTGAACACAGTAAAAAAACTGTAAATGACGTTCGTTGGGGGGGGGGGGGTCCTGACTACAACCCTTCACCCTCCATCTTCCTTTATCCTAGATCCCTTTCACCTAATTATCCCCAACTTCCTTTTCAGCTTCACCCCTCCCTCCCTACATCTTCATACCTCCCTCCCTTCCTAGATCCCTTCACCCTTGTATGCCTTCACCCCTACATCACTGCATACCTCCCTCCCTTTGTCCCTCTATCCCTCCTTCCCTACATCCCTTCACCTAATCATCCCTCCCTTCTTAGATCCAATAAATACTTCATCCCTCCCTAGATCCCTTCCTTCCTGGATTCCTTCAACCCCTTATCCCTTATCCCTTCCTCCCTTCACTCGTCTTTTCCTTTAAAGACCTTTATCTTGTTCTAAACAGCCTTTAAATCAGTCATTCATCAACAAAATGAAAAAGGGAAAACAATAAATTCCTGAAAAATATTAAAAGTTAAAATAATGTTCCTTTGACTCGTCTGAGATATTTTCTAGCATATTTAATCAACAGGTGTTTTAACAAAGAGCAGACACGCTTAAGGATAGAAGCAGAAATCATATTCTTCATTGAATACCTGTAGATGTGTACAGGTGTGTACCTGACAGACGGATTGCAGGGACGCAGTGACTCTCGACTGCACACTGTGACAGGAAGTGGTGCCGACTATAACAGCTTTTTAAACGGTGTGTGATCCTGCTGTAGCACCTTGACGGGGGCTCTGTTCCAGAGTCGTGTCAAACTTTTTTGGTGTGAAGTCTTTTCATTTCTTTGAGTCTGAAATCTAAACAAGTCTTTTCTTAACGACGAACTGAAACATATCTCATTAAGTCTCCATTTCATTAGTGTTGGGGAATCTTTTCCAAGGCCCATAACTCTGACCCAGCTTATCAGTTCTGTCCTGACTGAGCCCACGCACCTCGTAACCTTGGCTGCTGTGCTCTCAGTGTTCTGTCTCCCTGTTCCTGCCTGTTGGATCAGCTGATAGAGGTGTTATGGTTCTATGCTCCTGCCTGTTGGATCAGCTGATAGAGGTGTTATGGTTCTATGTTCCTGCCTGTTGGATCAGCTGATAGAGGTGTTATGGTTCTATGTTCCTGCCTGTTGGATCAGCTGATAGAGGTGTTATGGTTCTATGTTCCTGCCTGTTGGATCAGCTGATAGAGGTGTTATGGTTCTATGTTCCTGCCTGTTGGATCAGCTGATAGAGGTGTTATGGTTCTATGTTCCTGCCTGTTGGATCAGCTGATAGAGGTGTTATGGTTCTATGTTCCTGTCTGTTGGATCAGCTGATAGAGGTGTTATGGTTCTATGTTCCTGCCTGTTGGATCAGCTGATAGAGGTGTTATGGTTCTATGTTCCTGTCTGTTGGATCAGCTGATAGAGGTGTTATGGTTCTATGTTCCTGCCTGTTGGATCAGCTGATAGAGGTGTTATGGTTCTATGTTCCTGTCTGTTGGATCAGCTGATAGAGGTGTTATGGTTCTATGTTCCTGCCTGTTGGATCAGCTGATAGAGGTGTTATGGTTCTATGCTCCTGTCTGTTGGATCAGCTGATAGAGGTGTTATGGTTCTATGTTCCTGTCTGTTGGATCAGCTGATAGAGGTGTTATGATTCTATGTTCCTGCCTGTTGGATCAGCTGATAGAGGTGTTATGATTCTATGTTCCTGTCTGTTGGATCAGCTGATAGAGGTGTTATGGTTCTATGTTCCTGCCTGTTGGATCAGCTGATAGAGGTGTTATGGTTCTATGTTCCTGCCTGGTGGATCAGCTGATAGAGGTGTTATGGTTCTATGTTCCTGCCTGTTGGATCAGCTGATAGAGGTGTTATGGTTCTATGTTCCTGTCTGTTGGATCAGCTGATAGAGGTGTTATGGTTCTATGTTCCTGCCTGTTGGATCAGCTGATAGAGGTGTTATGGTTCTATGTTCCTGTCTGTTGGATCAGCTGATAGAGGTGTTATGGTTCTATGTTCCTGTCTGTTGGATCAGCTGATAGAGGTGTTATGGTTCTATGCTCCTGTCTGTTGGATCAGCTGATAGAGGTGTTATGATTCTATGTTCCTGCCTGTTGGATCAGCTGATAGAGGTGTTATGATTCTGTGTTCCTGCCTGTTGGATCAGCTGATAGAGGTGTTATGGTTCTATGTTCCTGTCTGTTGGATCAGCTGATAGAGGTGTTATGATTCTATGTTCCTGCCTCTTGGATCAGCTGATAGAGGTGTTATGGTTCTATGTTCCTGCCTGTTGGATCAGCTGATAGAGGTGTTATGATTCTATGTTCCTGCCTGTTGGATCAGCTGATAGAGGTGTTATGGTTCTATGCTCCTGTCTGTTGGATCATCTGATAGAGGTGTTATGGTTCTATGCTCCTGTCTGTTGGATCAGCTGATAGAGGTGTTATGGTTCTATGTTCCTGCCTGTTGGATCAGCTGATAGAGGTGTTATGGTTCTATGTTCCTGCCTGTTGGATCAGCTGATAGAGGTGTTATGGTTCTATGTTCCTGCCTGTTGGATCAGCTGATAGAGGTGTTATGGTTCTATGTTCCTGCCTGGTGGATCAGCTGATAGAGGTGTTATGGTTCTATGCTCTTGCCTGTTGGATCAGCTGATAGAGGTGTTATGGTTCTATGTTCCTGCCTGTTGGATCAGCTGATAGAGGTGTTATGGTTCTATGTTCCTGCATGTTGGATCAGCTGATAGAGGTGTTATGATTCTATGTTCCTGCCTGTTGGATCAGCTGATAGAGGTGTTATGATTCTGTGTTCCTGCCTGTTGGATCAGCTGATAGAGGTGTTATGGTTCTATGTTCCTGCCTGTTGGATCAGCTGATAGAGGTGTTATGGTTCTATATTCCTGCCTGTTGGATCAGCTGATAGAGGTGTTATGGTTCTATGCTCCTGCCTGTTGGATCAGCTGATAGAGGTGTTATGGTTCTATGTTCCTGCCTGTTGGATCAGCTGATAGAGGTGTTATGGTTCTATGCTCCTGTCTGTTGGATCAGCTGATAGAGGTGTTATGGTTCTATGTTCCTGCCTGTTGGATCAGCTGATAGAGGTGTTATGGTTCTATGTTCCTGCCTGTTGGATCAGCTGATAGAGGTGTTATGGTTCTATGTTCCTGCCTGTTGGATCAGCTGATAGAGGTGTTATGGTTCTATGTTCCTGTCTGTTGGATCAGCTGATAGAGGTGTTATGGTTCTATGTTCCTGCCTGTTGGATCAGCTGATAGAGGTGTTATGATTCTATGTTCCTGTCTGTTGGATCAGCTGATAGAGGTGTTATGATTCTATGTTCCTGTCTGTTGGATCAGCTGATAGAGGTGTTATGGTTCTATGTTCCTGCCTGTTGGATCAGCTGATAGAGGTGTTATGGTTCTATGTTCCTGTCTGTTGGATCAGCTGATAGAGGTGTTATGGTTCTATGTTCCTGCCTGTTGGATCAGCTGATAGAGGTGTTATGGTTCTATGTTCCTGCCTGTTGGATCAGCTGATAGAGGTGTTATGGTTCTATGTTCCTGTCTGTTGGATCAGCTGATAGAGGTGTTATGGTTCTATGTTCCTGCCTGTTGGATCAGCTGATAGAGGTGTTATGGTTCTGTGTTCCTGCCTGTTGGATCAGCTGATAGAGGTGTTATGGTTCTATGTTCCTGCCTGTTGGATCAGCTGATAGAGGTGTTATGGTTCTATGTTCCTGTCTGTTGGATCAGCTGATAGAGGTGTTATGGTTCTATGTTCCTGCCTGTTGGATCAGCTGATAGAGGTGTTATGGTTCTATGCTCCTGCCTGTTGGATCAGCTGATAGAGGTGTTATGGTTCTATGCTCCTGTCTGTTGGATCAGCTGATAGAGGTGTTATGGTTCTATGTTCCTGCCTGTTGGATCAGCTGATAGAGGTGTTATGATTCTATGTTCCTGTCTGTTGGATCAGCTGATAGAGGTGTTATGGTTCTATGTTCCTGCCTGTTGGATCAGCTGATAGAGGTGTTATGGTTCTAAGTTCCTGTCTGTTGGATCAGCTGATAGAGGTGTTATGATTCTATGTTCCTGTCTGTTGGATCAGCTGATAGAGGTGTTATGGTTCTATGTTCCTGCCTGTTGGATCAGCTGATAGAGGTGTTATGGTTCTATGTTCCTGTCTGTTGGATCAGCTGATAGAGGTGTTATGGTTCTATGTTCCTGCCTGTTGGATCAGCTGATAGAGGTGTTATGATTCTATGCTCCTGCCTGTTGGATCAGCTGATAGAGGTGTTATGGTTCTATGCTCCTGTCTGTTGGATCATCTGATAGAGGTGTTATGATTCTATGTTCCTGTCTGTTGGATCAGCTGATAGAGGTGTTATGGTTCTATGCTCCTGCCTGTTGGATCAGCTGATAGAGGTGTTATGGTTCTATGTTCCTGCCTGTTGGATCAGCTGATAGAGGTGTTATGGTTCTATGTTCCTGTCTGTTGGATCAGCTGATAGAGGTGTTATGGTTCTGTGTTCCTGTCTGTTGGATCAGCTGATAGAGGTGTTATGGTTCTATGTTCCTGCCTGTTGGATCAGCTGATAGAGGTGTTATGGTTCTATGTTCCTGCCTGTTGGATCAGCTGATAGAGGTGTTATGGTTCTATGTTCCTGTCTGTTTGATCAGCTGATAGAGGTGT